CAAGCTGTGGTGCTACATTCCGTTTCTGCCCTCCCACTCTTAATATCTTGGTTGATTCTGGGCTGAGAACGTTGAGAAAAATCTAACACTAGGCATATGAAGCAGGAAAGGCAGGCCCTCACGCCTATTAAGGGACAGTTTTGTGTGGTGAAAATCATTTATTTTATTGAAACAGTGAAGGCGGCATGGACACTAGCAATTCTTGAGTTAGTGTTGGGTACATGGAGCCTCACCGATCTTCCTTGAAACTTGCATCTGCTCTCCATATACACAGGTGGCTGGAGACCAGAGGTCAGAGAATAGCTCAGTGTTGAGCTAGGAACGGAACCCAGATTGGCCTGACTCAAAGGTTTATTTTTCTTACCCCAGATGCAGTTTCACTGTGTGCCTTGAACTGCTGCTGCTTTCTTGTTGCAGCTTTCTCCTTAGCGAAGGGATAATGGGGAGGTGGGAGGGGGGTCGGGTCAGCATTGTCAGTGATGCTCCAGGCTTCCCATGTGTTTCGCACAATATTATGGTAAACTTCACAATGACAAATTTTAGTTTCCTGGCTATACCAGCTGGAATAACTGAGGCACATAGGCCATTTGCTAAAACATGTCTAAATGATATTGGCATAGTACTGCTAATAAGGAGAAACACAGCCAGGTAGTCCTATAATCTCAGCACTTGGGAGATGGACATGGGAGGATCTGGAGTTCAAGGCCAGCCTTGGCTACATAGTAAGTACAAGGGAAACCTGGATACATAAAATAGTATCTCAAAAAAAAAAAAAAACGTTCAAGCATGCGTGCTTGTGTGTGTGTGTATGTCTATATGTGTGAGAATCTATGAATCTTCATCTGCATGCTAAGCTTCTCAAATTTGGAACTACCTATATTATTTCCTGAACCTTTTCATCTTTATATTAATGCTCAAGGCTTTATAGACATAGCTATTGTCTTACTTTTTTTTTTTCCCCCGGTTTGAATTTGGCTTTTGGGCAAGGCTCAATGTCTCTAGTTCATCCTTTCTAAGCTCATTGGTCAAGTGGATTGCATTTGTGGCCTCTCTTAAAAAGGTGCCTTACAGTGTACCAGAGCAGTTTTGTAAATTAATATCATCATTAAAAATAAGCTGGCCTCCTCGTCCACCTCCTTTAACTTGTTATTTGAGGCTGCCGGGTCGGGCTGCACAGACAGCCAGAGGTTTTGGCATGGACCTGGGGCCCAGGGGAATATTAACTTACAAGACTTTCCCTATTTTGCTTTTACATGTCTGAGACTATTTCAGAACTTAGTGGCTGTAATACAAGTTATTAAATACACGTGACCAGACTATAAGAAATGCTTTCTGCTCCCTTGGTTCCCTTTGAAGAAATGATGGCTGGGGAGTGAACTGGTGTATTTGTCATAATTATACCCGATTGCATTATAATCAAGATTATAAAAGGGTGGTTAGCTAAAAGTTAAGGTGATAACACCCAAGCTAGGTTCTACATGTAATTTAAGTGTCACATTTGGAATTAGAAGAATTATTTCATTAAACTTCGAGAGTTCTTGATGAGTAGAGATATTGGGTGTAAGATCTAAAGGAGAATGGAATCCTTGGTTTTTAGATCATCTGGTCCAACTTTCATCCTTGTACCCTTCTCTTGTGCTGGCTGGGCTGTCTCAGGAATCAGGGGCCAAAGTGGGGAGGGGTGTGTGTGATCCTCTGAAACCAGGGTGTGAATTTTTCTCACCTTGTATGCTCACCACTCAGTGTAAACAGTCTGTCCCTCTCTGTGTGTGTTCCTCTGTGGCTGCAAAGGCAGACACTGCCTGGGTATGGTGATGGGGACTCCGAAGAGTGTCTGCCAGTCTCCAGCAGCTGGAAAAGGTTTGAGCCCCTCTGGCAGATGTTTGTTGTTCCAGCCACTTCATTAACTTTGGAAACAAAACCCCCGACTATTCTGAACAAAGTTCCACTTTGTGATTGACAGCTGGGGTGTGCTTCCTCCCATGGAAATGCTTTACAGTCTAAGAGTGGCAGAAAGGGGCTGGAAAGAAGGAGCTTGAAAGACGAAAAAAAGAAAGAAATCGGGCTGCATGCCATTTGCTCAAAGCTCAAAATTAACAAGGAAAGGGGAGAGATTCATTTAACGAGAAAGACACATTTAGTACAACTAATTAAGATTTGATGTCCCATCAAACACATTATGTAATTTTGTTTCCAGAGCTTTCATTCAGTCGTTTTATTCAGGACACATTTACTGAGAAGGGACCAAGTGTCAGGGAGTAAAGTATGTGGACATTGATGGTAGGAGATGAATAATGTTGAACAAAGCATTGGCCCGCAGGAATTCATTGTTCAGAGGTGGAATGAGCATGCAAAGGACACACAGTGAAGGAAATGGGGGGTAGAGGCAGGAACAGCAAGGGACAGGCCTGAGGATGAGAAAGGGCTTCTTGGAAGGAGGTTATGTTTGAGATGGGTCTCTATTGTTTTCTGCTAGAGAAGGGCGGAGGGGAGAGGTGGCAGGGCATTCCAATCAAAGGCAAGGCTCCTAAAAGGCCAACCTCATGAAGTAGAAACTAGGATTAGCGTTTGCAAAAGAAAAGCCAAGGTCAGTTTGGGAAAGGAATACCAGAACTCCAAAGACTCCAGATTCCAAGATCCAGAACCACTCACTTCTCCCTCCAGCGGGGATTTGCTCCTACAGACCCCTCTGAGATTTCTGGCCATCCTAGTAAAAAGTGGGGAAAAAAGAGAAAAATCGAAGGCATTGATGGGGGATGCTCTACTTCTTTGGCTACCAAAATTCACTAGATTTCAAACCAAATCTACAGCCGGGTCTAAGTGAATCTTGTGCCCGCAGCTCTGTGGAAATAGAGAGTAAGAGGGCTGGAAGATGGCTGCCTTGTCAGGGGGGCGGAGGCCAGTCCAAGGGTTGATTCCTGCCATCTGGGATAAGGGTTCGAAGCTCTGTGTCTTCTGATGAGCTTCCGCCGGTATGGGGTACATAAATGCCACCCCCGACCCGAGTTGGGGAAGAGAGAAGGTAGAGAAGAAAAAGAGAAAGGAAGAAAAAAAATAAAAAAGAAACAAGGACGCGCTATGAGGGAGAACAGAACAGAAGCAAGGAAAGAGGAGAGGGGAACTAAAGAGAGAGGCCCCAAATGCGACCACAAATGAGGGGAAAGGAGAAATGAGAGGGGGAAAGAAGAGTTAGCAGGAGAAGGAGTGAAAAGTGCCGAGCAAAAGGTTGACGGAAAGGAGCGCAGTACGTAGACTGGGTTCCCGCAGAGTGAGCTGGAGCGCCCGCCTTCCGTGCGCCCACGGGGGAACCTGCCGGCTTAAGCACCGCCGCACTCTCATGCTCCGGCCCTGCGGCCACTCCGGTGCCGGGGCTCCGAACCCCGTAAGCCCGCCTCTCTGTTGCCTCGGTTAGAGGCGGATCCCGCCAAGCATTCAGCTTCTCTGCGGCGGCCTACAGTGTGGCACTGTCCTGGGGACGAAGAGAGCTTCCCAGGATTGCCCTGGTAGCGAGCGTTGCGCCCGGGTCTCTGGCCTCATCTCCTCGCGCAGCGGGTCGCGGCGAAGGGTAGCAGCGCTCAGACTGATCAGGGGCAGGTCCTAGGTCCTCGATCCCTCACAGCAGATAGGCCACAGGTCCAGGGATGAAAGCAAGGAACGCGCCCACCACTGTGGTACTTAGCTGCAGTCCTGGCGGGCTGCCTCTGGAGAAGAAATGGAAGCAATTCCAAATGGCGAGGAGGGAATAGGGCAGACGCAAACTCGTGGGAAATAAAGATCGTCAGTCCCGGCTGCGGGCCATAGCAAACGCTCGGTTGTGATTTGGTCTATTAATGACTATTTTCCCTAAGTGCTTCATTATTAGTTGAACGAGTTTGTCCCTTCGCGAGTTTAACCACCGGCCCGGGTGCGCGTCCCGACTTGCTTCCGCAGCTAGCCATGCTCGGAGCGCGCAGCCCCTGAGAACACCCAGAAGACTCGTGGTCACCCTCAGGGTGCGAGTATCGAGGAAGCATTACCCGTTGTCCGTGTCCAAAATTCTCTGTCCCACTGTCGGTTTCCTTCCCAGCTCGCGTACACCGCTTCAGGGACACAGCTTGGGGCCGGGAGTGCACCGGGAGGTCGCTTTCCACTGCAGGGCGCGTCGCTGACAGCAGGAGCTGTCCCGGGCGCGTAGGTGCCGGCGCGGTGTCTTTCACCCAAGGACTGTGGTTGAAAACAAAAGTTCATCCAGACATTGATTAGGACAGACTCTGAGATTAGGACGCTAAGAAAAAAAAAAAAAGAGGCAAACCATCCCTAAACACCTGAAGTCCGTCATGCCTGGGAATGAAAACTGGGATTGGGCACAAGGAAAAGCCAGAATTTGGGCTGACTGTAGAAGGGCCACGGACACGCCGCGATCCCGCTGTTTTAGCCCTTTCCAGCAAAGAAAACCGTTTTATGAACAGAATTTAAACACACACAAACACACATTATTCCCTCGGTTTATTATTGGGGTAACGGACTGCGCTAAGGTCATTTGTAGTTTGGGATCCGGAGGCAATCAAGTTTACAACCTCGGTGCAAACGCCTCACGCCGGGAGCGCACCGGTGCAGCGCGGGCTTGGGAGCTGCGGGCTGAGAAGGGGACGCCGTGGTCCTGGGAAACCGCCCAGGCGGGGACAAGTGAGGCACAGTGGCCATCGGGAAGCGAGTGCTCTGGGGCCGGGAGCCTCGGGAGCCTGGACGAGGACTTCACTACTACGTGGCAAGAGACGCGTTCATAGCTACCCGCAGGGGATTGGGAGCCGTGCCCCCTCTGGCAGGACTAGCTCTAAGCGGGGACAGAGGAAGATGCAGCTCGGAAAAGCGGCGGCGGGGCGCCAGGACCGTAGGAGGAGGCGGCGCGCGCCGGCCGTACTGCGCGTGCACACACACACAAGCGCGCGCGCACCCCGGTACACACACCTGGAGCCTGGGGGAGGGGGGAGAGGAGAGCCGAAGCGAGTGTCTTAAAATAGAGAGCCGGCGTGCGGAGCGCTCGACTCGGACCGGCGGGAGGCGGCGAGCACGAGCAGCCCGACCCTGGGTGCGCAGGTCAGCGCCCGGACAGCACGGACACGCAGGGGCGGGGTAGCAGCCGACGCCCCTCGGCTCGCGCTCCGCACCTGGCCCTGCAGGAAGTGCGCGCTGATTGACAGCTGCGGTGTCCCAAAAAGGCTGTAGTCAAAGATGCTGCTCCGCGGGTGGGTGTAGACACTGCAGGCAGGCGCGCCCGTGCCCTCACTGGTCCGCGCTCCTCCCCGGGCCCCGCCGCCCCTCTGGCTGCGGAAGAGCGGGGCTCAGGCCCCAGCCCGCGCGCACCAGCCCCCGCGGTCCCGCACGACCCGGCGCTCGCAGCACTCAGGTCGTCAGGCTCTAGTCCGGGCTCACCATGCACTGCCACGCGGAACTGAGGCTGAGCTCACCCGGCCAGCTCAAAGCAGCCAGGCGGCGCTACAAGACTTTCATGATCGATGAGATCCTCTCCAAGGAGACCTGCGACTACTTTGAGAAACTTTCCCTTTACTCTGTGTGCCCGTCGTTGGTGGTGCGACCCAAGCCCCTGCACTCTTGTACCGGTAAGACAATCGTTGGGAGATAGTGGGCTGTGGTACTTTCGCCCTTGTGCGGTCGCCGGCCGCTGCTTTTCAAACCGAGAGCTAGAGGGACCAAGGGATTCTTTTCCTGCGTCCTTGTAAGTAGAACAGACTCGCGAGCGGCGGACCTTCAAAAACGAAGCGTTTGCAACCCCGGCCCGGGCAGGTACTTAATGTGAGATAGGTTAAGACCAAACGGTCCTTGGAGTGGGACACCTCCGTAGCGCCGGGTCCTGCTTCTTGGAGAAAACTCCCTCCTTTCTGGCGCTATGGAGTTCCAATGAGAAACTTCAAAACACTTGACCAGATTCAGTGCCTAGGTGGTTTCACGCAGTGCGTTTGTCGGTTTCAACTTGAGTTTGGTGGTCTTCCCCTTATTGCCCAACTTCTTATGTCTTCTTTGTAATTTTACAAGTAAATCTGTTTCCTGGGCTTCAAAACAAACTACTGAATTCACCGAACGTGACTTAAATTGATCTCTCTTTGGGGAAGTAGTTTTGGACTATGCTGCGTTTTGACACAAGCAGAGAATCAACCCCTTGTTTCTTTTAAGTGACTAAAACCAACACTAGTAACAGTAAAAATATCTCTCAGACCCGGTGTCCCCTCTTCACAAAAGCTAGACCAATAGGAAAGAGACAGAATTTAGTAATAATACTGAAAACGTAGATATGTAGGAAACCAATCCAAAGACTTTAAAACACTTTGAGTGCAGTGAGAGAAGGCCCGGCTTTCAACGTTCTTGGCGGGGTGGGAATTCAGGCTCCAAAAACCGTGGGAGTAGCTAGGAAAAAAAATAAAAGTTGAGGCAAAATTTTTTTTCAAAGAAATTCTTCACCATGCTTTCCATTAAAAGCAAACATTTATTGCTTCCAAAGGAGAGGGGTCTGTGGCATTATGCTTGTTGTATGACTGCCGTGAAGTAAGTTCATGAAATCCTATTTTGAAAAATTGAAGTGTGTGCTACAGTGGTTCTCAAAGACCTCTTATGGGAACTGTTGGGATAAAAAGCTGCTAAATATAACGCTTGGAATCTCATTTCTCCCTTGCTTCGACTGACAGCAAGGACCTTCCAAAAGCAAGATATTCCTACATTTGTTTGGCTATAAAATTAATATTACACATTTTGTCAGCAAGATAGAATTGGATCTGTTATCCTAAAGCAAACCTTGTAATACTGAATTTTACAAACAAGGAAATAAATAAAATACACAAAAGAGATTTTAGAAACAACACAAGAGCTATCCATCATGTTGACATTTTTACTTTTGTGTGTCGGCTATATGTGGTGCCTCACATGATGAGTGGTCTGTGAATAGGCTGGGCTGGGAGAAGTAGGCTGAATCTTCTTTTAAGAACATCTATTTGCTACAATAATGGAAATCCCATTGAGGATTTGTGTATGTGGCAGACGCCTATGCACCCTGTTCAGTCACTGCCCAGGAGAGAGACTCCTGGGAGGAAAATACAGTTCCTGAGGACCTAGGGGTGGTTTAGTACCTGCTGACTTTCAGGGGCTCTGCCATAATTCTAAGGCAGCTTTTCATGGCTTGTAGGAGTCACAGAATTGGGTCATGAAAGAAAAAAAAAACAAACCTGCTGGAAAAAGAGAGGGAAAAAAAGGCCCAGAAAATCATCATACAGTCAGTCTAGGCTGAGTAAGTTCCATGATTTATTGAACCTTGTGTGGGAAATAAAACAGAGAAAATGTAATGATTCAAAGGCAGTTTTGTGAGTGCTAAAAGTGAGTTGACAGACGTCCTCGTTGCAGGCTAGTCCTGTGCTCCTAGAAGTTCCTTGATGGTCTGCAGCAGAAGGGGTTCTTGGCTGTGCTTTTCTTGCCTTATTTTCCCATCCTTCCTCTGGATTGTTCCTTTCAAAATGCGTCTTGATTTTGCTGTAGTTGAGACTTAAAATATAGAAAGTAGGATTTGCTAGTGGAATTAAACTCATAAAAACTGGCTACAGCAGTTCATACTTTCGGATCTTAAGCCTTCCATGGGTTTACGATTTCACTGGAAGCCTTACATGTAAGATCATGGGAAGTCCATTAGTGACTTCTCTGGGGCTTCATGTTTTCAGAGCCCCTTTGCACTTTTTAACTGTCAAAGGCAGGCTCAGAAATCTTAGCTAGGATAAGTATGATCTTTTAAAAATCAATTAAAAATAGAAACCATAAGTTGCTGGTATCTATAACAAAACAGCAACTTATTTTTCTGTGTAGAGACAGATTTTTAGCTTGTGTGGCAGGAGCAGTGTACAAGAAATTCAGAGGAAGTGGAAATTTATACTGAATTAAAGTTACCGAATTTTCTCATCTTTTAGTTTGCCCATGTCCACCAGCTTACATAACTGGAGCAGAAGAGAACTTTGTCAGGCAAAAGACTGGACACTAAGACTAGAAATTGACTTACCAGCATGTACAATAATCACACAGTACAGGAGTGGAACAAAAGCCACATTTAAAAGACTTCTATCTAATTAAGCAGTCCATGTTGCTTGATTTAGTAATCCAAGTGGCAATGCATGATATCAAATCTCCTCAGGCAGATGAGTATGTATTTATGTAAACAGAGGAATGGAAATCTTTTTCACTAGTCAGATAATCACCTGGAAGTAATTTATTACTAAACATTTTCCCCTTGATGGAATACTAATCATCAAAAAGTATTGTTTAACAGGCCCCTTACTGAAAACACAATAATTTTACTCTTTGAGAGTGGTCTCTAAATCTTGTTTCCCAGTAGTTCCCCCTAAATTACCTTAATAGATGCTGAGGAGAATTGTTCTCTTTAAGCCAAACTAAAGAAAGTTTATCATTAAATTACAAAAGAAAAAAATCTAAAGAAAGACTCCATTTAAGCAAAGTTTGCTGTCCACACTGTCAGAATACTTTTGACTTAATTGTGTGTGTGACCTGTACGTCTTATCTTTAAAACTGATAACAGTAATCCTCATACAGAGTCAAATATATTGCCAATGGGAAGTCAGTAATCATCTCTCAAACATTAGGGTGGAGGCAGTGATCCAAAGTTTACCCAAACAAGGTACACTTTATGATTTGTCTGTTTTAGATTGTCATTAACTCTTGATGGAAAGTCATTTGAATAAAACTGGCCCCTCACAGTGGACTAGATTGTAAAGCCATTGGCACTGGAATTTTTGAAAACATTGCCTCTGTGTTGAAATCTTTAGAGATGGTCAGAGTTTCTAAATTTGAGGAATGTTCAGGGAAAACAGGTAACTTGTTCCACAAACACAAACATGCAACAGTTCACCCTAAGGGTTTTCCTGTGAGGTTATTGATAAACACACCTACAGTATTAATTACTTATAATTTATTGTTGCTATTTAGAAGGAGCTTACATTTCCACTTGCTCATCTTGGGGAGGAGAATACAGATATTTGGACACTAGACCTGTGTCTTTCAATTATCCTAGTACAATCTTTAGTCTACCTCCTTTCCCCTTCTTGGGTAGGATGGTTCTGCTGAATCTATTCGTGACCTTCAGAGTCAATCCTTTAGGCCTGGCCATGGCTTTGGAGCTGGCATGGGTCAAGAGGTCAATCTCCCCAAGCAGAAGATAGATTTATCTATCTATTTTTTTTTTCAGAGTGCCAGCATCACACTGGTGTTTCAACATATCCAATCCACTTTTTACACCGTTGCCCTTGTCAGGATTCTCAGAAATCAGGAAGATTTCTGTATCTTGGTTACACACCCTGGATAAACTCGTGCGGTCGCACCCAGGGGACAGTCAACCAATTAAAAGGGGCGTTTGGGACAGGGTGATTATCTTAGGAGGTGGCATTGAGAACATTTTATCCTCTGGTGGGTCCATGAGAAACAAGTTCTTTGGGGTGGTGTCCTTGGGCACATTTATCACAGAGACTGGGTTGTCACACTGGTGAAAAGTTAACTGAGGCCCAGACGTGCAGGACTCTGTGGCCGTGTTAGAAAACCAGCAACTGCTTCATGAAGTCCCTTCCACTGATTCTCCAAACCTCAGCTTCTTCAGTTGGAGACCAAATCCCGTAGCATATTGGGAACTTGAGAATTGGGCCCTGGAATGTTAATGGAGAAACGTAAAGCAGGGTCTGGGAAAATGATCGTTATCAATGCTGCCAGAGGCAAGCAGGCTTTAGTAACAATTACTCACAGTGGTTTCTCCTATTGCTGTTTGAAGGGTGAACACACTGAGGGACATACAGCGTCGTTGGGGACTTCCTCAGGGTCAGGATAGATTCGGAGAGGAGCTGTTGACTTACCCCCTCTCAAATTTTATAATTTCTCTTTAAAGAGATTCAATTGAGACACTGAGGGGTTCCTTAGGAACTGGCTTTAAGAGCTTATGAACTGTTTACCAGCAGAGTCTGGGCTGCCGCTGATCTCTCTAATGGCAGGTGGGAAAAAGATTGGAAATTTTGTGCAGAGTTAAAATGCCTCTTCCATTGCTACAATCCTTGGTATCACTGAATTCAATAATTTAATTAAATGAATATTTATATTTGCGTGGAATACACACACAGACATAGACATACTCATTTATAAGGCCAGTTACATACAGGCATGCAGGCTATTTATTCTTTGAGATGGAAGACTGAATTTATAATGCAAATATAGACAGTGTAACGTTAATTTTAGCACACTGTAGGTTTTGCAGCAGTCTATATGAGAAGCAGTAAGGATTGAAATGGTTGTTTAAATTGTAAAGCGAGACTAGAAAGGGAAAAAAAAACAAGGTAATAGAGACAAAGAGAAAGAGTCGATTTCTGTGAAATCTTGAGGCTGCTCAGGTTCCATTTTCTACCACAGGATATTTTAGAGCATTTTGTTGTACAGACCAAATAAAGGTGGCTTCTGAAATCACTGTCCACAGACAATAAACAGGTAACACTGATTCTACTTAGATTCATGCTAGGCACCTTAAGTGGAGTTCCCTGCAGCCTGGAACTGCCCATCATTTACCATTCATGGGGGG